ATGTATTTCAGGATTAGACTGGTTTTTTTGCTTTTCATTTTTTGAAGGTTGGTTTTTAACCACATCTGCATCCACGAGTCATCATCGGAACACAGCAGGCTCTTTCTACTGCTCTAAGCATGGTCTCTGCCTGGGCCTGTGATGGGGTGGGCTGTCCTTCTGGGGGCGCTGAGTGGCCTGTGATTTGTGGCAGTGGAATTTCAAAATGGTGTTGACAAAAGGAAAAACACAAGTGGCTTCTAATTCCTAAACTATTCCTACTGCTCAGGAAAATGCCTCCTGAGGGAAATGAGAACAGCTGTGTATATTATATTCTTTTAAAATTCACATTGACCAAAACTGCTATTTTCAAAGAATCACTTCAATATATTGGAAGTACTTTGGAATGTAAAATATTTATTGGATACTTTACAGTGAATCCAATCCCTTTTCTTGGGCCTTCATTGTTTTTAGGTCTGGCAAGCAGACCTGAATTATCCCCCGAGCCCCTTGGTTTACAATAGTTCTTCCACCTGTCCAGTAAAGCCTGCTAGCCTGTTCCGAGATTAATGACTTTTAACTGTCATCCTCCTTGAGCTGTAAGACTTGCCCCTTCCTTCCCTGAGGCCATGGCCCAGACCTGGAGTTTGGCACTGACTGACTTAACTCTCTTTGAAAGCCTAGGCAGTTTCCCTAGGTCTCCCTGGATTCTGTGTATCCTCACTCCCCAACCATCAAGGATGTTGTGGCTCTTCTCTTTCTTGCAGGCACATAAGGCTGATCACAGCCATTTCTCTTTCCCTCAGGGTGAAGACTGATTTCCCTCAAAGCCTGGAATTCCACATATACCTTGGGTAATGGCATGGACTCCTACCCCTGCCCTGCCTCCTCCCTCAGAATAGTGAAGGGTTACATATTCTGAGAACCCAGCAGCCAGTCACTCTGTCACTGCTATAAGGAAGGTCAAGGCTCAATTTGTACTATGATTTGGGACTTTACACCAGGCCTCAGGATTCAATAGCCATGTAGGGCAACGTGAATTACTATCTTTGTGCAAATAGGCCAGTAGCGTAGAAGATCAGCATTTTTAATAAAAAAGCTCACTTTTCCTCCCCAAACCTCTTAATCCAAATGCTACTTAGCCTTTCCTCCCTCCTCTCTATTGCCCTCCCCTCCTCACATCCCTTCTTTCCCAAAAGTCCTTTTGTGATACAACAAACCTGACAATTCTATGGCAACAACCTATATAACACCTCCAATCTAGAGAACAGCATTTTAAGATTCTTACTTCTTATTATAAAGATAGAACAAGAACAAGAATTGTACTTATAGAGCAAGAATTGTACTCGCCCCACGCAGAGTTACTGAGAAGAAATGCCAGAGGCTCAGCTTTCACTACACCCCTGAACCTGTGCTGGGTGCTTCATAAGGATTTTCTCCTGGAATCCATACAGTCACCCGAGAAGGGAAGCCCCTGTGTGTCCCCATGTAGAAAAAGATTACCAAACTTCATTTTACAGATGAAGAAACCAAGATACAAAGATAACTGAGTAACCTGCCCAACACCCAGCTAATAAGCAGCAGCTCAGGATCTGAGCTCACAACCATACCCACACCTGTACTATTCCCACTACATCACATTTGCACCTAAGTGAAATAAGAGACAGTGCCTAGCACATAATCACTCAAATGTCGAACAGTAGACACTCAACACATGCTAGCTGCTCACCCCCTCTCTTACAGCCACTTCTTGCTCACAGCTCCTTTCAGACAGGACACAGCCAGAGCCTAAGGCTTAACACTTATCATGAATGTATGCTGTGGTCCATCCAGAGGTGGCTCTCTAGTCTCCGAGTATAGATCTCATATCGTACAGATGGAAAAATATTCATATGGCTAAATGCAAATGGACTAACAAACTCTCATTGTATGAAGGCACTTTCCTCCCTCTCTTGTCCTAACCCAAACTTCCTTGGCCTATTGTAAATAATCAAGTTAGTTTCATTGTGTGCTCAATTCTTTGCAAAAAGACTCCCCAGCAACTCCTCAAATGAGAAGCAAAAAACAGGCACTAGATGGCCCTTGTCTTACACTCAACCCTGCTTTTCCAGGAGCAGTGGTGAACCTGAACTGAGGTCATGCACATAAGCAGGTTGACCAGGTGGTCCAAGGTCATCCAGGCTGAGGACTGCAGTCATGGCAAAGCGTGCAGAGCAAGAAGCAAACTCACTTTCAGGTTTATCCTTGGCTCTCCATGGCCACACTGCTGCCACCTAGTGTCTGCGGTGCTGACCTCCAGTCTTGGTGCCCCGGCTAGGTGTTGAACCATGTGTCCTGGCAGCATGGCACTCCCAATGCCTTCTCATCCAAATACCCGTAAGCCTGGTACCTGGTATCTGTGGCACAACACAGGAACCCAGGAAGGTAGAAATCTCGATGAAAGAAGCAGAGATGGGCAATAGCCCTCAAAGTGGTTCTAAAACTAGAAGCCAACAAGTAACTAAATGTCCCATCTGCCACTGTCGATGTGGTCCCTTAGGACAGCCTCAGGCCTGCCACAGCATGGCAGTTTACAGCAAATAAGCCTGGGTTTAGTGAGGGAAGTTGGGGGTTTTGACCTTCGACACTAATGTCCTCAGAAATGCCTATCAGGAACTTCAGAATGTGTGGAGATTCTCTTTTCCCTCTCTTCCCAGGCCCACCTCTCTCTCTAAAGCCAAGTCAAGGAAAATTTCAATTCCTGAATATGCAAAATATGGTTCTAGCTGCCAAACAGCTTCCAAGACTTAGCTCGAACTATCCCTTACTTCATGGAGCCATCCCTAACTCCTTAGTTGGAAATATCCAACTTTCTCTAGAGCCTCTGATTTTTCTGTAATCACCACTTTGCTATTTATTATGCCCAGGTCTCGCTCCTTGATTAGAGCAAACACTTCAGTGTTACTCAGAGCCCTGCTTTGCACTCAGTAGATGTGCGGTGTCTGGCAGATAACTGAAGGGACCTCAGTGAAAAAAAAAAGGAAACCACAAACCCTTTTGTGAAATGTATTTCTAGATTGGCTTAGATTAAATCCTACTACATTCCAGCTAGTCTGGGCTTAGCTAATGGGGGACTGAAGAGGTCTTGGGATTCTTTCCCTAGAGCCCAGTGTAGTACATCAGGAGAACATTCTCCAACCCCTGGGTTTCAAGCCAATTTGCTGCACTCAAGAATGCCTAACCAGTGACCCATGCACTATTCTACCTCTGGGCATACTAGCTGTCAGGAATAGGGTCCTTTCAAAAACTACACAAGTGCTAGAAAAATACATACACACAGAATATATATAGAAAACATACACTGCCTTTAACCTTAGGAGTGCCACCCAGTAGTGAGAGCAGAGTCTTTATGACCTGCACATGTCATCACCAGGACCCAGGTAAACTGCCCTCTGCCCCTCCCCACTCCCATCCAGAACCTAGGCCAGTGCCCAGCACCCAGATGACCCTGAATAGTTGTCGATGGGTTTGATCACCCAAGTAGCAAGACCCCAGGCCTCATGAAAGGTCTTATGTAAATTGCAGACCAGGGAGCCAGCCAACCACATAACAAAAAAAGACACTACCTCACCAGGAGATAGCTAGACCCCAAAGAAAACACCACAAAGGTGGCTCACATTCTAGAACTGCTTAGCAGCAGCCACAGTGAGATGTCCCTGGAGCTACTCTGCTAACCAAGGCTGGGAAAGCCCTAAACTTATTTTTTCACAGGCTGAAGAACAGACCCAGGAGATCCAACAGCTCCCCAAGTCACCACGGCAATGACTCCAAGGCCAGACTTCAACTGCTGCTCCAGCTCCAAGGGGGGAAAAGTGAGGTCTAACCAGACAAATTACATTCCTGCTGCTCCACTTTCACTTTTGAGGCAGTGACCTTCTCCCTCCACTTAGGCATCTTGGTGGCTAGCATTGAATCCAGACTGAACTCTAAACAGACAAGTCAGACAAGAACATAGAAACTGCACTGGTCATACTTCATATGTCCAGCAGGAACTATTCTCAAAAGTTATACAAATGTCGGTCCATGGGTCTGCTCTTGTTTTGGTTTTTGGTAGTTTACACATTCAGAGAACACTGAAGATGGAAGCTAGAAATGAATGAATCTTGGAGACTATTCAATCCAATTTCCCAATCCCTTTTCCCATTTTACAGAGGACCTACAGAAGGCACAAGATATCCCAAATGACATGTGCCCACACACAAATACGGGGTAAGAACCCTGGCGGCAGACTCCAGCCAGGCCCACTGCTCTTGCTATCTTGGCTTATGCTGCCCCAGGAGCAGTGAGGGAGTAGGTTCTGTGGAACTAAGGCCAGCTATTTTCATTGGTCAAACATCACACATGAAATCTATTCAGTGAGGCTTTCCCAAGGGAAGGGATTCCCTTCAATAAAACAGTATCTATTTCCCTGCTCTGCTTGGCACCACAGCCCTCATTAAGTCTTGGTTTATCCTAACCCAGTGGATTTTTATTTCTTTTAAATTCTAGAAATGAAACATCTGGTACTTGCCCCTTCCTCTCATCTTTTATAGTGGTTTCTCCCTTCTTTTGCAATACCAAAGAATCTATCACTAGGGAAGAGGGCAGGGCCCAGGCCCAGGGGCTGCCCCTCCTAGCACCAACAGGGGGTGCCCCTGAAGGCCAGGCCATCAGCAGAAAGACTGTGGGAAGACACTCTGCTCCCAGGCTCTCTCTGCAGGCCCCTCAGTCTAGAGCTGATGGCCCCACACTACACGTATCAAGCACACAACAGCCTCAGGCATGGTGATGGCGCTGCTCCATGAGGAAAAGCTACCCGCCAACCTCCTTAGTGCCTGGTAAGGGCCCCCTCCTGAGGCCGCTGGGACAGTGTAGGCTGGATGTGGGTTGTGAAGAGGAAATGATCCATATGGCGGTTTCCTTCCCAGTCTGCGTCTTAGTCCTCCAAGCCCCAGCTCCCACAGAGCCAGGGCCACATCATCTCCACCTGCTTTTTTTTTTTTGCTTTAGATGTTTCTGGTTCCATCACTGAGACCTCAAAGAAGCCTGTGTGTGGTCTCACATCAGACACTGAAGTCATGGGCTGTAGGCATTATTTTCAGTCCCTTTGCTGATGGCTGCACACCCAATGTTTCCTTTTTGGGTTGGGTGCACTGTCTGCAGTGATACTCCCAGGGTCCTGGCACAGACGGTCATGCGAACCCCTCCACGGCCAGCATCTCCAGCTCCAGCCCCAGTTCACCCTGACACCTTCATCTCTGCTCTGCAGCTAAAATGTTCCCTTCTTCGATGCTCTGCAGCTGGAGCCTCTGACTCGCAAGAGTTCTGCTGCCTCGGCGGCCCCCAAAGCCAACCCCTGGGACGGTCCGTGCTGCAAACAAGACCCCTGGCAAAGCCTCCTCCCCAAATAAGTTGATCTTGGCTTCAGCCTCGATGGCTTTGGCCAGGCTGGCTGCGTAACTGTCCAAGGACTTGTGTACTTCAGCTTTCACATGAAGAATAGAGTTCTTGGCAGCTTCTGAGGGAGAAGGCAGAAATACAGTTAGCCAAGGAGACAGGGGGACTGCCCGGGGGACTGCCTGCCCTTGCTTCACTGCCCAGGGAGAGGAGGTAAACAGAGGTATGGGTTTGAAGCCAGAGTCCTCAGGGTAAAAGCCTTCACTCCTCAATTTTCTACCTGGGAAATCATAGAAAAGTTATTTTGTATTGCTTCAGTTTCCTCATCTGAAAAGAGATGGTAATAAGATGCCTCTCGTTTCACAGTGTCACTATGATTATTAAATGAGATCATTCTAAGATGCTTAGAAAGGCCTGGTAGAGACTTTGTAGCATTATTCCTCAAAATGTTTACATCTTTGGAAGAATCCTCTGGTCCTCTAGTTTCCCGAAGCAGTGAGAAATCTATGGCTATAAACTTCCAAAAACTAAATATCACCTCTCTCTTCTCCATAGTTGCTCAGAGCTCCCTCAGATTCATGGAAAACCTTGGGGTTGGGAGTGACATTAAAGGTTTGAGCCTCTACCAAGGATTAGGACGCCCTGTCAACTAAACGGACTGAAGTGAGGGCGGAAATGGCTGTTCTGTTGTATGCACTGTCCTGTTAGCATTAGCCTCACTGCCTATTTCTCTGGACATCTGGGGGGAATCACTGATCCTCTCCTCACATCTTCTGGAGGGTACACAACTCACTCCAAAAGTAAAAGCATGGGGGGACCTCTGGCCACTCACTCCCAGGGAGGGGGCTCCCCTGGCAGGGCCTTGCTCTCTCACTGCCTGTAGAGAGGGTACTTTGGGAACTGCCACCTCCACAAAGTAGGATTAGTGATGGGGTAAGGTGGCCCTGTGTGGGTTGGGGGTAGGGAAGGGTTTGATTCACTTGTTCCCTAAAAGGGTAATATATTATAAAGGCCAGGAGGCTGCCAGTCCTGGCTTGGTTCTAGAATTTGCTTTGCCAGAAAAGTGGCTAATCTGATTTCTTTTTTTTTTTTTTTTAGAGACAGAATCTCACTTTGTTGCCCTCAGTAGAGTGCTGTAGCGTCACAGCTCACAGCAACCTCTGGCTCTTGGGCTTAGGCGATTCTCTTGCCTTAGCCTCCCCAGTAGGTGGGACTATAGGCACCCGCCACAGTACCTGGCTATTTTTGTTGTTGTTGTTGTAGTTTGGCTGGGGCTGTGTTTGAACCTGCCACCCTCGGTATATGATGCCAGCACCTTGCCCACTGAGCCACAGGCACCACTTGGCTAATCTGATTTCTACCTCTCTGACCTGCGTTCACTCTGAACTCAGGGAGGGGATGGCAGATGAGATGTAATTAATTATGAATCTAAATCTCTGATGGGACCCATATTTATTTTCATAGTCAGCATTTCTGAACAACTTAGGTCTTAAAGTCCCCAGATGCCCCCACCACATCCCCAGCCATATCATGTTGGGCATGATATGAATCAAACTCCGTGAAGGCATCAAACTCTCCTCACCTAGTTTGTGGGCACCCTAGGCAGCTCATTCATCACCCTCCTAGTCAGCATGTTGGAGGAAAATTAACCCTGAATTCCAGAGGCAACAAGGGTGCGAGGGGTGAGTTAAGAGCAGATGGAGTAGAAAAATGTGGGGACTGGACAACCAACCGCAGTGCCATACCCCTCACAGGACTCATGTGCCAGCTTCAAGGGCAACAGACAAGCAAGATGGACAGCTGCTGCCTTCAGTAAAGTAGATGCACTCGCTGGGACACTATTGCATTTCCACAGGGGAAAAGTAAAGGTCAGAGGGGGCAGATTCAGATTTACAACCACACATCACCCATATGGTAAAGAAACTACAGGAAAGAGGGCTCAGAGACCATTTTGTCCACCAGGCAACCTCCTAAGGGAGGAGATGTGAGTCAGAATGTGGCCGGGTAGAGGGAGCCTGAAGCCTCAGGCACTGCTGCCTCTGAGGGTTGGTGCCTAAGGACTCAGGTGAGAAGAATCAGGGTGGTTCTCGGGTGGGGGCAAGGAATTTCCCTATGATCCTTTCCTGTCCTCTGTTCACTTAGCGCCATCTGTCACAGTAACCAACCTTTGATTTGCTCCACTTCATCCTCAAATGTCACCGAGCTCCTTCTCCTGGGTGGGCAAGTACAGTGGGAGGGAGGGTTGTCATCAGATGTGTAGTCCTCCAGCAGCATCACATCCGTCCCTGAGACAGAGGGCAGACTGTGCACACAAACTAGCAACACAAAGTACTCCCCCTGGCCTCGCCCTCCCTCGGCACCCCTTGCTTCCCTCTCTCCCTCTCATTCAAACCTATAACCAGGTGCAGCTAACTGCTCTGTGGCATCTGTCCAATGAACACCCTGTCACCTATTTCAGGGCGGTTGCAGACATCCAGGGGGCTGCCTCAGCCACACAGAACCATAGCAGTGCCATCCAGGGTAGTGATCGGTAAGTCATGGCCTTTTAACTTTGCAAAGGCTTTCACTCACTTCCAACCACACAATAACACTGTGCAGCTAAGAGAACAGGACCGGAGACCCCCGTTTTATAGGGGAGGAAACTCTCTATAAAGGAGGGCACAGGAAAGCTGAAAAGTAAAAGCTGTGGCTGGAAGCCCAGACTCAGGGTTCTTGCCTCCAGGCCCTTCCCACCCGCTGTGGGAAATGGGCAACACACAGGTGAGAGGCTGCTGAAGCCTGACAGTACCTGAGTCCTGAGAGCAGCTGAAGCCCGTGTCCCCAGTGCTGCTGCTGTGCCCCAGGGGCTGTCCGCCTGCCATGAGCGCCGTGAGGTGTGGGGACAGGCCCAGGTCTGAAAGGCAAAGTTGGCGTTGAAGGTGCGGTGACCACACCCTGCAGAAGCAGATGACCTTCCCACTCGGTCTTCCCCTCAGACTGCCCCCCACCACCCTCCCCTTCTCTCTGCTCTCCTTGCAAAACTTGCTCTCAAGCCCCTGAAAGACAGGCCACCCTACCTGCTCCTTCCCCACTCACCCTCTGCTCCTGTCCCACCGTGTTGTGGCTCACTGGGTTCCCCCAAAGGGAAAGCCCCTCTGACAAGGTCAAATACCAACGAGGGAGGTAGGAGGAGAAACCCGAGGCCGACAGTCTTTAGAGAAGGTCTTCCAATTAAACAGAGAGAATTCAACCTCCCCATTTACCTCCTGAAATCCTACTTGAATGCCAAAAATGGATTTTTTTCTAACTCAAAGGGGAGAGAATTTCTGGAAGCTAGAAAGCAAACAGGTGAGGGAAGTGAGCTGACCCAGGAAAGAGAACTGGTGTGGGCAATGGGAGAAGCCCAGGAGACAGGTTCCCACCAGGCCCTGGCAGCTCAGGAACTGGGGCTCCAGGGACAGAATGTCTCCAAAGGAAGCAGCTAGGCCTTTCTGCTGCTCCCCAAATCTGGGCTCCAGGCACCTGACCTTATAGTGACAGGAGAGAGTGACCTGGGGGCACAACTGAGGCAAGGTCACACAGTAAACACTGAGGGAGCAATGAGAACCCACATATTTACCAGGGGGACCCTGGACCCATCTCCCACTCCACCTGCACTGGACAGTGGAGAACCAACCACCCTTGAGAAAAGACCTGCAGATACTGACAGCTTGGTGTCCCCCAGTGGCCCTGCCAGACCACCCCACAATCACAGCTTCCCTGTGGCTTTCCTGCTAGGGCTGGACTATTAAAGAGAAAGTGATGCCCCGGATCACTAGACATTTAAGGAAAGGTATTATCAAGAAAGACAGAGAGAGTGAAAAGAAGAAAAAAGAAAAGAAGAAATAGACCTCAGAGCAAACAATTCAGGGAGCTTATAAGAAAGCAAAACAAAGTGATAATTGGGTATCCTCAGAAAGCTGAGAAAATAATGAATCCACCAAAAAAGACCTGGAGGCTGTAAAAAAGGGAACATGGAGATAACAAAAAGCTTGTAGAACTTAAAAAGATGACACACAAAACATCAGACACCTTGGCTCTCACGATCTACCGCCTAGCAGACTGAACGATCAGCCGTAAAGGACAATCTGGTTTCCTCCTCCAGTGCTCTCAGAGACGAGGGAAGAGCATGGGCTTTACTTTCAGCCTAGTTCTTCTGAGAGTACAAGGCTCCAGGACACACTCTCTCCCATCCTCCCTGATGTCATGGAGGAAATGGTGGCGGGGAGAGCAGCCATAGCAAACTTCTCTTAGGAACCTCCCATTACTGTCCCTTACCAGGGATTGGGGGTGGGACTGGGACCAGAGAAGACCCACACCTGCCCCCACACACGACTGCCCCCTCTAGGGCCTTGGCCTGACATGACTGTGCTTACAGGACATCTGGCTCGGGGAATAGAGCCCTTGGGGCCATTCCCTGCCAACTGGGATGGCTGAAGCCACAGTGGGTTTTGGATACCATCTCTGAGGCTGCGGTGAAAGCCAGGAACGTGTCTGGGTCTTCCCAGTGGGAGGAATCACTGGAGCCAGGCCCGTGTGACACCACCGAAAGGTCAGAAGCAGGGTGGCCAGGAGGCAGCCCTCTACCCTGTGTCTACCCTGCACTCACTCCTGGAGAGTGGGCTTGATTACCTAGGATTTTTCACATGAAAGAACAATGTATCTACTGGGTTGGATGCAACCCAACCCCTCAAAACTAAAACAAAAACACAGCACAGAAGTGCAGGCCCTGGGGAACAGGTTTGTGGCTCCCCAGAAGCAGACAGTGAGTGGGTAAAGCCACAGTGCCTTTGGGCAGCTCAGGGGACACTGGTGTGACTCTGAGGTGAAGCAGCCACTTTGAAGCAACAAGAAGACCGCCAGGTACCACTAGGAGAGGAACATAGAAAAGCAAGGGAGGGAAATTCAAAGGCTCCTGGGTCTCCCTCCCCATCCTCCAGCCCAGATCCCTCCAGGAAGGATGCGGTGTGAGCATCTCCCCCAGGCATGAGTGAGTAGGAGTTTTCCTTCCAGGAGATACCTGGAAACGCTCTTTCCCCAGTGACCTCTGTGCACACATCAGTCCCAAGTGAGAGCAGCATGGGAGAGGCTGCCCTCCTGCCCTGCCACCCCCTGCCTGGGGTGAGAGGAAGCTGGGCTCTCCGGCCCTGGCTGGAGTAAAGGGTCTGGACCTGCATGCGCTTTCTCCTGAAGGCCTTTTCTTGGCTCCCATTGCCAGTAGCCCCTGTCAGCTTTGTGGTTTAGCACCTTAAGACTAAACAATTGCATTTAGCTCCCCCTTCAGCACTAGAAGCCACTATGCACTCCAGGGCTGACCCGTCCACCATCAGGTAGCACAGCTTGGCCACCTCCAGGTAGCCCAGAGATCTCAGTTCCCAGGTGAGCCCTCCCCGTGGGGATAATGAGCCCTCAAAAGCAGAAAACATTTGGTGGCTCAGGGACTGCTAGTACCATAGGGAAAACCCAACCTTCTGCACTTCTTTAGTTTGGGGACAACAGAATGAGAAAACCAAATTCCATAAAGCTACTAAGTGTGCAGTAAACGCTGTCAAGTGCTCATGAAACTCCTGACACCCGAGTCAGCGGCAAGCTCCAGATACTTGTGGAATTCTGTTTCCATGAATTCTTTGCTCATAAGCACTCTTTTAGGAAAGTTTATAATTCCCTTCACTGATTTCCTTGGTTACTTTCTAGCTACCCATACAAATAGAGAGGAACAAAACCGAAACAGAGGCTTCTTTCTGGCTTTGGAAGAGACCTGATCATCCTTCTCACCCTGCTGAGGGTGGCCACGAGCAGGGAAAGTGATTAGGGTTAGGAATCTGCAGCAGATCAAAGCCAGGCCCACAGAGGATCCTATGCAGGGTCCGGGCAGCCCTGACTCAGACAGAGCCAACTGGGAGGGACACGAGGTGGAGGCCTGGGCTCTCCCTCCAGATCAGCAGGACAGTCGCATTTATGGTGGGGACAGCACAGGCTGGGCAGCTGGGTCAGCGCATTCTGCTTTGCTCCCCGACTCTTGCTGACTCCTGCCACCTTCCTCCTGGGACAAGGACCTTCAGGGAAGAACAATAAAGATTCCCCTATGCCCATTCCTGGGAGAGACCAACGACTCAGAACCCATCATCCCACAAGCCCTTCAACCCAGAAGCATCCCACAGCACTGCCTTCCCCTGAGTGAAGACGAGACCGCCGGCTGCCTCGGACTTGCCAACCTGACCACAGCTGGCGTTTCCTGCCTGTCCTCACAGCCTCACCAGCTCTTCTAGGAATATTGCAAGTGACTTGCATGGAAAACTTTGGCCCCAAAAGCAGATGTTTCTTTTTGTTCTATCTACCCTTCTCCTCCTCCATTCTCTTTCCTCTTTTTTTTCCTTCCTCATTTCTAACGTCATTGAAACATAAAACATCTAGTATTCCTTCCCTAGAAGACAAGGGGTTTCACAAAATCTGAATAAATAATCAGCGAAATGAAGCCAAATGCCAAATGTACTCCAGTTCACAAGTCATGCGCGGAAATATGGGTTTGCAACTACCTGGCAGGGGGTGGGCATTTCAGTGATTAAAATCCTGGGATACGAAGAGGTTTTCTCTCCTGTGGTCAAAACCAAAAAGTCTCAGGCTTCCTCTGTTTCTCAAGAAGTAACACTCTATCATCCATGAAATAAACCAGTGACGCTGGTGTTCTGTGCCACCTGGAAAGGACCTCCTGTCATCACTGCCACTGAGTACTTATAATTAACAGTTGTTATTTCTTTCACCCTTGTGAGACAGAGGATAGAAGACCCCTCATTTTACAAAAAAAAAAAAAAAAAAAGTATGAAAGTAGTTCAAAGTCATTTGCCAAGAGATTAAAACTGCAAACTGAATGCCCTTAACATTTCTCTTCCAATGGTCTCCCCTAAATGTGGCCCTAAAACTCCAGCTACTTCCCTTCAGAACAACACGAGAATAACTGCTGGAGGCCAAGACCCACCACCGAGTGCTGAAAACACTGGATGAGGGCTGAAGGAGAAGTAGGACACTTACACAAAGAATCTGCTCTGTTGTGTTAATTAATTACAACAGAAAAATTAGTGACTTTACAGTGAAGAAAGCTGACAGACTAAAGAGATCTTGGCTAAGAGATCAAGGGTAGCATCTCCAGTAATGAGGCATTTGACACTGTGCCCTGACGGGACACACTAACAAGGCATGTGAGCCCTGCAGCGTTCTTGCAGAAACATAAAACCTCCCTCTAATCTTGAGAAGGCCTCACACAAACAGAGTGAGGGTGCTCTGCAAAATACATGATGGCTGTCAAAGTGTCAATTTCATAAAAAGCAGAGAAACTGTCAAAAAAGGATTGAATTGTCAAAGATTAAAGAAGACAAAGCGGGATGTGACAGCTAAAATAATGTAAAAGGACAGTGAAAGGACAAAAAGAGGACAGTAATGGGGAAAGGAGTGAATTCGGGATCAAGCCCTGCCGCTGTTCACGCCTTAGGTCTGATTGTGCTATGGCTATGCAAGATTGTCAGTTACCACAGGAAGAAGCTGAGTACATGGGAATTCTTTTTTTTTCTTTTTTTTTTGAGACAGAGCCTCAAGCTGTCCCCCTGGGTAGAGTGCTGTGGCATCACAGCTCACAGCAACCTCTAGCTCCTGGGCTCAAGCGAGTCCCCTGTCTCTGCCTCCCAAGTGGCTGGGACCACAGGCGCCCGCCACATGGGAATTCTTTGTACTGTTTTTCCATCTCTTCGATAAATCTAAAATTATTTCAAAATGAAAAGATAAAAAGAAAAAAAAATCTACCCCTGACTAGAGTAATTCCTCTGGGTCTCATCAATGGTGGTAGGACCATGTCCAGACACCTCCCTGCATGTCTGAGCCTGTCACCAGATGGGGAAGTGGCCTTGCACACACGAGATGGTGACATCTCAGTGCAGGCCCAGGGTAGAGGATGGTTGAGGAGAGGAGGCAGGTTGGACAGGCAACTGGGGTGGACAGGAAGTAAGGACAAGAGGAAAGACTGAAGGAAAGGACTTGCCCAGAGGAGGTAGCCGGTCCAACACTGGGGCTCCTTCTCTAATAAAGAAGTAACTACACTTTCAGGACCAGCAGGCCATGGTTGGGTTTCAGGAAACATCTCTGTACTGTGACATCCACTAAGTCTTTCGGGATACACTTCAGGGAGCCCTGCTACTTCCTTGTCAGCATGGCCTTGAGCTGCTGAGTGATGGAAAGCTGTCCAGGAATCACAGGGATACTCTAGAATGTTCCTTCTCCAAAGGAAGTTCTGTGCTTTGAGCCTTGAGGCCACAGTCAGCCTCAGGGCTCAACCTTCCCCGGGCCAGTACAGCCGATAGGACCACAGTCCACATTGGCCTGCGTACACATCCGTTTCCTAACAAGCTCCCCAGTTACCTGTGATCCTGTTGGAAATGCTGAAGAGCCGAGACGTCCTCTGCCGCTGCACAAACGGCTCCCGGTAATAGCGGTCCCCGAAGCACATGCCCAGTAGTTCCTTGCGAACCGTCTTATTCCAGAGTCCATAGATCAGGGGGTGGCAGATGGCGCTGGTAAAGGACAGCCATGTGGCCCAGGTCTCCAAGGTAGGGGAGACAGAGTTCTTCCCCCAGAGGGCCTCAGAGGTGATGACGACCATGTAGGGGCCCCAGGTGACCATGAAGGCACCAATGACCACCAGGATGGTAATGAGGGCTTTGCACTGGTTGGCCGAGTAGACGACACCCTGAAAGGCATTCCGCCTACTGCCCGAAGAGGATGTTGAGGTGCTAGAGTTCTTCCTCCCATTCCTCTGGGCATCCTCCTCTGCAATGACCACCGTGCCACAGTGCACCTTCCGGGCCTTGACCCTGGCCACGCGGAAGATGAAGCCATAGCACACCAGCATGACCAGAAAGGGGAGCAGGGCACACCAAATCAGCCAGAAGGCAGTGTAGCCAGGGCCCCGGTGCCAGGCAGCCACACACATCCACTTGAACTCATCGAACTCCACAGGTGACCAACCAAACAGGGGTGGCAAGCAGCCAATGAGGGAATGAAGCCAGATGTAGACAAGTGCCATCACAGCCCGGTTCCCTGTGATCTTCATGGGATACACCATGGGGTACAGGACAGCATAGTATCTAGAAAAGAGTCGAGGGGGTGAGAGAGAAAAGTCAAAAGGAGAGGCACACACCAGGACGGGCACTGCTGCTTTCCCATGTAGAAGGCTCTGGAAAGCTGTCTCTCACCTGACCCATGGGGTGAATGCTTCTAAAAGAAGCACCAGGAGGCACCTGTGTCTCAGTGAGTTGGGCGCCGGCCCCATATATCAAGAGTGATGGGTTTGAACCTGGCCCTAGCCAGCTAAAACAGCAGTGGCAACTGCAACAAAAATAGCTGGGCGTTGTGGCGCCTATAGTCTCAGCAACTTGGGAGGCTGAGGCAAGAGAATCGCTCTAGCCCAAGAGCTGGAGGTTGCTGTGAGCTGTGATGCCATAGCACTCTACCAAGGGTGACAAAGTGAGACTCTGTCTCAAAAAAAAAAAATAGATAAAATAAAAGCAGCTGTCCCCCAATCCTCAGGCAAGTTATAGCCTGTGCCACCCTCTGCAGCTCTGCAGCACCCTTCCTGAGTGAATAGCTGGACACCAGCAAGAACACAGAACTCAGACAGTCCTGTTTCTAAGTGGAGACACCAGAACCCATTCCTATTTGGGGGTGTGGCTAGTCCTGAGGCACCTACGGGGGTCCTGGGAGATAATGCATTGGGCCGGATCAGTTCTGCTATTACTGACATTAATCCATGTAGTTCAGTTTTCAGAGCCACAGTGATGTCTGAGGACCACGGGGTTCAATCACTTGGTGGACATCTATCTACTGAAGGCCTGCTCCATGCCAGCACCACACCCAGCTCCCAGGAAATGCAGGACAAAGACTGGGGAAGACAGACGTGTAAGCAGAGCATGAGAGTCTGAGGTGGTAACGGCCACACTGAATCCTCACCACGCTGAGCAGAGGTATGTCTTCACCTTCATTTTACGGAGGACACTAAAGCAGAGAAAGGCAGAGGAAGAAACAAGATACAGAGCAGGCCACCTGACTCTGTGATGCCCAACACACGTGCCACCAACTCCCTGCAAGCCATCTCGGTCCAGAGCCCATGGACCAGGGGGTAGTTCCCACTGACTTGATGCTGTTAAGACAACAGGCCAGGGACTCTATTGATTCAAATTGGTGGGCCCTTCATACAGACTGGAGGGCCAGAGCAGGTTCCCTGGGAGAGACTACACTCCAGACTCGGGTTTTGAAAGGCCAAAGATGCTGGCCCAGGACCAGTCCAGGCAGAAGGCTGGCCTTGGCAAGGCACAGAGGTGTACATGAGCACTGGCTCAGTGGGGAAGGTGCAGGTAGCTCAGTCAGCCAACAATACAGAGTGGCCAGGTGGCCAGGTGCCAGGGTGCAGAGCCTCATGGGCCTAGATAAGGACAGCCCTTTAACTGGAATGGGTGGGAGAACTCAAACTGTGAGGTTGAAAGTTAACCACCACCCACCCCATCCAGACATTTTATTCAAGGGAAATAGTCCTTTCCCATGAGGGCAATAGGGATGGGGTGGCCATGCTAATACGACCTAGTACAGCCAGGGTACTGGGAAACAACCATGGCTACAAGCCTCACACATCACAGGGGAAGCCACCTCCACTGGGATCTTCCTGAGTCACCCTTGGGTACCAGACACTGTAGTGCACATGCTGACCAGAGGTGCTGCCTCCTCCATGGGGTCTTCCTAAGCAGGGTGAGCCTGAGGCTGTTCTACCTCGGGCTAGAGGGCAGGCTGAGATCTAGCTTGGAAGGAGACTGCTTCAGTGGGGGTGGCCTGCAGAGGGGACTGTGCCTGAGATTACGGTGTGGATCACAGAATCACCGCATGACCTGAGGTAAGGTGACTGCTGTCTTACACTGATACCAGGGTTTGCACCTTGCAGAGACACATAACCCAATGGGAAAAGCAATTTGGAGTTGGAAATCAGAGTCTGATTGTCTCCAAGCTGAGGTACCTCAGTAGTTGACTTAGCTCCAGACCTTCAGTTCCTGAATCTGTAAAAGGGAAATAATTGAACCTTCTTCACAGGTTTGCTTTGGAAGGAATGGTGCACAGAAGGCATGGGTCACACTCACCCTTCCGAGGCAATGGGGAGAGCCTGTGCCCTGCCTGGCCATTGACCTCTCCCCATCACCCTAGGGATGGAAGCTCCACATTGTTCGCGCTCCTACAAAACTTCCCTGACCCACAGGGGACACTGGGCCCTTCTGAGTCCCAGGGATGAACAAGCCATTCAGGTCGTCTCCTTCCCCTTGCCTTGTCCTGCTGAAACATCATTCTGGCAAATGAAAAGTGAGAGTTCACTGAGGTGGGACTGTGGGGAGGGGCAGGTTATAGGAAGGTTCCTTCACTTTCAAAAAAAAAAAAAAAGAGAGAGAGAGAGAGAGATTTCTACTTTCCTCCTGTCCCTTTATAGGACACCTTGGACACAGGTGCTCCAAGCTCAGACACCTGGAGAGGGTGGGGTGTATGGTGGGTGTGGGAGGCCCAGTCTGGTGACTGTTAGCTGTCCTGATCCTTTGACCAGCCTCGCGATTAAGATTCCTAATCTGTCCTCTGCCAGATTTCCTTCTGGTTCTTCTCAACACCCACTTATTATTGTTACTTTATAGCAAGACTTCTTAAAGGTAATAAATGATGTTTATGTTTCCACTGACTAAGGTTCCAGTGGGACATGACCACGATTTCTCCCAGCTGAATCCAGAATCCTGTCAGAATTCTGGGCAGTGGAGCTGGTGCTGGCTCCATCAGGGTCAGTCTCCTAGAATCCAAAAAGGCCCATGGGACACAGCCCTGGCCAGCTACGGCCACGCGCTCCAGGGTTACTCTGTATTTAGTATTGAAGGGTGAGGGGCAGCGGAGTACAATTTCTATACATTGAAATGCATGAATCTACACCTCTATTAAGATACAGAACTTTCTCACATCTTCCCAGGAAAAGAAACAGGTTTACGTGTTCTCTCAATCATGGCTCTGCAGCTTCTTTCTTTGAGCTGAAGCCTCATGGAGACCTAGTCACAGATTCAAAGGGAAACACAGAACTAAAGCAACTCCCTGTGAGTTAACACAGGCCGAAAGAGAAGGGCTTTCTTTGGCTTTCTCTATTCAATCTTTTCTCTAACAATTCTTTTTATTTATTTATTTATTTATTTATTTATTTATTTTGAGACAGAATCTCACTCTGTTGCCCTTGGTAGAGTGCCGTGGCGTCACAGCTCACAGAAACCTCCAACTCTTGGGCTTAAGCAATTCTCTAGCCTCAGCCTCCCAAGTAGCTGGGACTTCAGGTGCCTGCTACCATGCCCATTTTGGGTTGTAGTTGTCATTGTTGTTGATAGCAGGCTCGGGCCGGGTTTGAACCGGCCAGCCCTGGTGTATGTGGCCTGTGCCCTAGCCACTGAGCTATGGGCTCCAAGCCAACAATTCATTTTTAGACATGAGTCCCACATGATGCCTGAAACCACAGGAAGATTTTGTGATATCACCTATACATTCATACAAATGGTAAAACATAATTATAGTCCAGAAAGTAGAAGGGAAGAGGAGAGAGAGGGGAGGGGAGCGGAAGGCGGGAGGAGGGCGGTCTTTCGGGGGACCTCACCCAATGTGCATGATGGAATGGTACATTTCAAAACTATTAAGAAAAGAGTATAATTGTGAGGGATGTGTTAATAATCAGTTCAATGTAAGCATTTCACATTGTATATCAAATCAGTACACTGAACCCCATAAATGCACCAATATACACAGTTACAATTTAATAAAAACAAAAGAAAACAACGATTTCATGATGTCATGTGTGACTGGAAAGTTCCAGCACATGGGTGTTCCAGAGGCTGAGTCCTCTCGCCACAGGACTAGCCACATTGAAAGCAATCCCTGTTTCTAAAAAGCTGTCGCCACTAAAAACACAAACGAAATCTAAGCCAACTCTAGCTACCTCAGGGCAATGCGTTAGCTGACACTGCACAGTCTCCTAGAATCCTTCGTGATCTTCACTCTCACTACGCATCCCCTTGTTCTGACTACTCTTATGTACTGAAATACTATTTTAGAAACCCTGAGTTTCACCCACGGAAAATGGAATGAAAATCTGAGAATGATTTTACATGCACCTGACAGCCTGGCAGCCTCACAGCTGCGTGAGAGGTGAGCACACATTATAGGTGTATTCACAGTGATCCTCTTCACAGGTCAAATGGCATCCCCAGGGTCTGGTTTAGGATTATTGATACCGAAATGTGATTTCACTCCAGGCATCCTTGCTTTTTACTTTCTGTCTTTACTCTCTTTTTATGAGGTTACAAGATAGACGCCTTGGGCTCAGCCGTGCAACAGTCTGACAATTTATTTAGCTGGGGCTCTCAGCTGGGAACCCCTGGGGATATCTGGCAATGTCTGAAGATGCTGTGGGTTGTCACAGCTAGGGAGGTGTTCCTGGCAGCAAGTGGGTGGAGGCTAGGATACTGCTATATGTCCTACAATGCTCAGGACAGCGCCTCACCACCAGAATTATCTGGCCTAAAGTAGCAATAGTGCTGAAGTGGAGAAACCTTGGACTGGCCAAATCATGATCATTTCCATGAACATAGAAATAGTAGTTGGTCTAGGCAATCTGTGTTTTTTAAGCCACCTGAATGACCAATAATGGAAAGTAAATTGCATCTGCCATTAAAATATCCGAAGACACCAAATTTTACAGCATCTCTTTATTTCAGTCACAAAGATCGGCTAAAGCAACGTGCTAGGGAACAACACCAACTCGTGCAAGGGAAAATGAACTATTTCCCGGAGACAACCAGGCCTTGATAACTTGCCATGGCAGTGGGGCAGGAGCCCTTTCTCCACCAGCCATGCTGTCACTGTAACCCTGCAGCCAGGCTGTGGGGCCTGAGGGGCCTGGATTAAGACTCTAGGGGGAGGAAGCTTGTCCATTTGGTCATTTCCCCCAGGGCTCCGGCTGTGTCAGACACCCCACACTCAGCACACACCCCAAGCACTTCCACCAAGTTCTGTCTATCATAATCCTCCGCATTCTCACAGCATCTTAAACATCCTAGTGTTGAGTACCTATCACACGGGCCGAAGGCAACACACGCCTGCCTCTCGCACTTCTCTAACTGTTCATTCATTCTGTTCAGCTGTGTATTCCCAGCATGAACCACCATGCCAGGCATATATTGGGTGCTTAATATGTGCTTACCAAATGAATGAACAGAGGCTGCTCCTTCAGTTGGAAGGGCCCTTTCCACCTCTTGCCTGTCTGTACGATCCCACTTGCTATTTTGTACCTGGTTCAAATACTACCTCCCCTCCCCCCTCCAGCAGCACTCAGTGCCCCACTCAACAGCAGCAGCACTAGTAGCGCTGTCCCTGGCAGTCACTTCTCTGTGTTAACACCAACATTCACAGGTCAGCTTCTGCCACTGAACTGTAAAGCCCTGGTGGGCAGACCTCTTCATGCTCGTATTCTACCGTCCTGGAGATTTAGCACAGGGCCTTTCCAAGAGAATATAGGGAACAAAAACTCCCATGGTCAAGTAAGGCCCTCAAAGAGGTGAACCCACTCAAGGGTGTCTGAGACAGCTGGAGCCCTGGGGGAAATGGTCAGCTTCCTCCCCCTAAAGCCTCCCCCTAGCACGATTTGAGGGTCTGTCTCACTTGCTGGTGGGAAATGTTACTCTCCCTTCTTTAGCCCCTCTAGTAGGGGTCCTCAAACTTTTTAAACAGGGGGCCAGTTCACTGTCCCTCCAGTGGAGGGCTGGACTGCAGGCCTCGGGATGAGTCGGCTGCTAAGGGACAGGCAGCAGTGGCAAAAACACCCAGTGGGCCAGGTAAATGTCCTAGGCGGGCCGCATGTAGCCCGTGGGCCGTACTTTGAGGACGCCTGCCCTAGAGGTAAGCCAGCAGCTGACAGCCTCCTGCAGCCACCAATGCAGAGAACTGGCACTAGCTCCCCAGCATCCACACATCCATGTGAGGGCCACTGAAACACCAAGCCTCATCTCTGTGATTGAGCTGTTTATCCTCATACCACATTCCACAGGACCCAGAGCCCAGGAAGGGATGTTCTAAAATTAATGATTTGTTTAAAAATAGACATTAAAACAATAATGAGATCCCATTCCTTCCCATTGCCAACAAACTTCCAAACTTTTTTTTTAAGACATTATACAGTCTTCAAAGGATACTGATGAATGGCCGCTGGAGTGCACGTCTGCATAGCTTTCTGAAGGGCGTTTGCTGTTTAGATAGCAAGAATCTGGCAAGTGTGTCTATCCTAAACATAGCAAGTCCACAAACATACACGTTCCTCAGACCACCAGGCATAATATTAGCTATTTGAAACGAACAAATCCAGTAATAGGGGACTGTAAAAGTACTTAATTTACTGTAATTTACTGTAAATTAAAAGTAAATTACAGTATGTTCCTGAAGTGGAATACACATATGCCATTAAAAATCATGTTCTCGAAGGGTATTTGTAGATGGAAGGAAATGCTCAGAATCATGCGTTAAGTTTAAAAAGGTCACAAAACCGTAAATTCCATGAGCCTATTTTAAGAATTTACTACGTACAATCAAAAATTACTACAGGCAAATATGCTGAGTACATAAATAGTGAGTGCTTATGGATTGGTTAGATGATGAGTTTTTCTTCTTTCATTCATTATTTGCTGCATTACTTTTACTACTGGAGGGAAAATAAAAGACATACAGACAAGCTGCTCTTAAGAAGGTCAGCCTTGCCAATGATGAACCCAAGTGAAGTGTCAGCAAAATCCTAATAAACAAGGGGTTGGAAACCCACTGTCAAGTGCATGAGACCCATGAGCCTACATCTGACGGCATGATGCAGGAATCCAGAGAACCTGTGACATTTAGGGAAGGACAGTGGCAGCAAAAGCCCTTCCCATGTGCCAGCTACACTGAACGGGGAGCGCCCAGGTGTCTAAAAGTGCACGCAGCCCTTCTCAGGTGTCACTGTCTTCCTTGGTTGTCCTCCTTCCCCCTGCACTGTGAAGAGTGGTGAAGTTTCCGACTTGGGCTGCACCAGTCAAGCTGAGGCCAAAACCAAAACAAGCCCCAGCAGGAGCTCACTGGGGAGACAGAGAGGCCGAGTCAGGCCCAGGCCCCAGCGCCGCCACTCTGCCCCTTTACCTTCCTCACCTTCCATTTCTCCGCAGTTAATTGGAGGTTCCTTGAACTCTTTTTTACGCAATGGAATCTCTTTTAAAAAAAAAAACAAAAACCGTGCAATATAAACTGGTAAAACCAGATATGCCTGGCTGCAGAGACAGAGCAGAGGCAGAACTTCACTTGCTCATCCTCCCCGGCACAGGCCCCTGACACTCTCCCTAGGAGCTAATGCTGTCCAAAGATCACTGTACCCATCACTCTGTGACCTTCCAACTCTCTAAGTCTCAGGCATCTTACCGGTCGATGGCAATGACCCCGAGGGTGAGCATGCTGGCCGAGCTGATCAGCAGGTAGAGGAGGGCAGAGAAGTTGCACCAGACCACACCAAAGATCCATTCCCTTCGAATGCAGCTGGTCACCACGAAAGGCAGCACCAACACGGACAGCAAGAAGTTGGACAGGGTCAGGCTGAAGACGAACTTGTTGCTTAGGGTGAGGAGGTAGGACTTCTTGTACAAGGTGACCACGATAACCAGGTTGCCCAGGCAGACAAAAATGGTGATGACAATGATGGCGATGAACTCGGCAACAATGACACCCCCTTCACCGGCCTCCTCTGCAGTAAGGTTATGCAGCTCCTTGCTGTGGCCAAGGGAGGAGCTGAGGCTCATGGTCAGCGTGCCCCGGTATGGGCTGAGCAGAGCATGCTGGATGACTGGAAAAACAAGATTCATCAAATCACATCGTCTCCACTTAAAGAAGTCAAGTGCTGTGCCCTAGGCCACCAGCTAGTCCAGAAAATCTCAGCCTGTCTTCTCCACTCAAGCCCTACATAAGCCATCCATCTTCTACACCCAATCTGTGTGCAACTCACTGGATCTCCCTGAGGGATTTTTTTCCCCTGTCTGAACTATCCTCACCATTCCCCAGGGCCAGTGGTTCAGAACCTTTGATTTGCTAAGAATCTCCTGAATGCCAGTTCAGAAAGCTTGACGCTTGAGCTCTACCATGAGATTCTGGTCCCACAGGTTCCAGGTACAACCCAGGAACCTGCGTTTTATTCACCCGGGAGATGTGCCATATACCCTAACATTGTGCCCCCCTAGGTTGGAGCTTACCAAATCTCCCTTATCCCCTCCCCCCACTTGAATTTAATTGTGTTTTTCTCTTGTGAGGGCCTATAGTTGTTCATCTATTAATTCTGAATTAGCTTTGAGTACACTGGATACTTGCTTTTCCATTCTTGAGATACTTTACTAAGGAGGATGTCCCATCCAGGTAAATACAAAAGATGTAAAGTCTCCACCTTTTTATGGCTGAATAATACTCCATGATAGGAACCTGCATTTTAAACAAGCACACTGGGGCAGGGAGCTTGCCATGGTCAGGGAGGGCAAGCGTTAGCTGTAAAGGGTTAAGTGAAGACACCATCTGAGACACCACTGTTTGTTTGCAGGACACTGGCTCAGGATCCTGGCTAAAACTCAAGGTTGACATGTTTTAACATTAAATCCTACAGACTGTTCTCCAAAACCCTTTATATACTTTAGCACTCTCCCTACACGCTCTCACTCTTCACAACAGACACCAGAAGCAAAAGAAAGACTGCTTTCCATGAGCCAGACAAGAACTCTAGTGCCTAAACTGCCTCCAGTGGCAGGACCATCCCCACACCCACAGCTGTCCAGGCTTTTTTGTTTTTCTATTGCACATTGGAAGAGTAAGAGTTGTCTTGAGCCACACATGAAATACACACACCCTAATGAAAGGTGATTAGCAAACAAAAGGTTTGTACCCACGTTTCCTGATGTCCAAAGCCACAGATAAGTTAAACAGTCCTCAAATAATCTTCATGTGGCCCAAGGGGGGAACACCCCTGTACCCCACTTCATCGAGCTGTCCCCTTTATCCAAATAGCTTTGACACAGGGAGCCCTTGCCCCTCCAGTTCTAAGTACCAGTAAGATTTCCCCTATTGCGAGCCTGGCTGTGCTGCAGGTTACAACCACCAATCTGAACCCTGCTCTCTGGAGCAGCAAGGAATTCAAACCCTTCTTCCATTTGGTAGTCTTCAAATACCTCAAAAATTATTTGCTTTCCTTCTCTAGATTAGATGTCTCCAGTTCTTGACAAGATACAGTGGCTCACACCTGCAATCCTAGCACTCTGGGAGGCCAAGGTGGGTGGATTGCTTGAGGTCAGGAGTTTAAGACTAGCCTGAGCAAGAGCAAGACCCTGTCTCTACTAAAAATAGAAAAACTAGCTGAGTATGGTGGCAGGTGCCTATAGTCCCAGCTGCTCCGGAGGCTGAGGCAAGGGGATTGCTCAAGCCCAAGAGTTTGAGATTGCTATAAGTTATGACACCATAGCACTCTACCCAGGATGACAGAGGAAGACTCTGTCTCAAATAAATAAATAAAAACAGAAATAAATAAACCTCTCCAGCTCCTGATCATTTGTCACTGTATAGTTTCCAGACCCTTCACTATTCAGTCTCCCTGCTCTGGACTTGCTCCCAGATGTCTACAACCTTCTGGATTTGTGGTCTCCAAAACTGAACATCCTATTCTGGATGTGGTCTGGTAAGTGTCAAGTCCAAAGGGGCAATGTTCTCCATGATCAGGATAATCTTCTTCCACTAGTCACTCTAAGAATACATTTTCTTGCAACAACTACATCACTCTGCTAGGCTTATATAAGTGTAAGATCAACTAAAACCCGAAGTTTATACATACATGAATCTCTGTGAAGCCAGATGTCTCCAACTGTGAACATATGGAATTAATGTTTTTAAGCCTAAGTACAAAATATTATTTTTTCTAAATTTCATTTTGTGCATTTTGGCTCGTAGTTCTAGGCTGCTAAAATATTCTGAATTTTTGGTTCAGTTATGCAACAAATTAGTTACTCCAGCTTTGTGCCATGAATATATTTTGCAGGTATATGCTCCAGGTCTGTAATCTCTGCAAGACTGTTATTGGTTTTTGTCTTTAGCTGGTGAGTTCTGGGTTTTGTTACCTCTTATAAGTAAATTATTAATTGATGTACCAAAATAAAGTTTCTACATAAGCATATTATTCTCGAGTTAACTGCACAAGGGGTAACATGGGGATAAATAAAATGGACTTTGTGTTGATCCTAGGTCATAGGGTCATAAGACCTCTCCTCTTACAAATGGATTAATTTATTCATGGATTAATGGGTGGGTTATCATAAGAGTACGACTGCTGGCTTTCTGAGTAAAAGACAAGAGACCTGAGTTAGCACAGTCAGGTCAGCCCCTTTGCAGCATTTAATACCCCTTTCACTATATACCAGTGTTTTTCAACCTTTTTATCTCATAGCACACTTGAACTTATGGTTAAACTTCTGTGCCACAATTAAATTGTGCTGATCAAAAAGTAAAAAAAAGAATACACTTACTGTGCTTTGAACTGTTTTCAAAAATAATTTAATTAATGATCTTTAAAAAGTTTTGTGGCATGGCTTGGCGCCTATAGCACAGTGGTTATGGCGCCAACCACATACACCAACGGTGGCGGGTTTGAACTCAGCCCGCCAGCTAAAAAACAACAATGGACTTGGCGCTTGTGGCTCAAGCACCTAAGGCGCCAGTCACATACACCTGAGCTGGTGTGTTTGAATCCAGCCCGGGCCCACCAAACAACAATGATAGCTACAACCAAAAAATAGCCAGGCGTTGTGGTGGGCGGCTGTTGTCCCAGCTACCTGGGAGGCAGAGGCAGGAGACTCGCTTGAGCCCAGGAGTTGGAGGTTGCTGTGAGCTGTGATGCCACAGCACTCTTCCCAGGGGGACAGTTTGAGGCTCTGTCTCAAAAAAAAAAAAAAAAACAATGACAACCACAATAAAAAATAGCCAGCCAGGTGTTGTGGCGGGTGCCTGTAGTCCCAGCTACTTGGGAGGCTGAGGCAAGAGAATTGCTTAAGCCCAAGAGCTGGAGGTTGCTACAGGCTGTGATGCCACGGCACTCTACCAAGGGTGACATAGTGAGACTGCCTCAAAATAAATAAATAAATAACAAATAAAAAAGTTAAAAAAAATTTTTTGCAGCAAACCTCAGATCCTCTCATGGCCCACAGTGTGCTGCACGTAGCACATCAGTTGAAAGTCACTGCCATACCCCCAATGGTCTATTATCTACCATAGATAAAATAACTATTAAATTTACTTAGTAGGTTAGATGTTAGTGATGATGTTATACTTTTACAACTACTTTGAGTATAGAGCAATTGCGCATACATACTTTTGGGGGGGGGAACTAAATTTCTTATTGTAGGAGAAAGGAGATACAATTATAGAATAGGAGAAAGTAAGGAAGAACCTATGGTGTTAAACTGGTTATTGGAGGTAAGTATGAACTTACTATTCAAATACAAATGTAAAAATAGATCCAGGAGCTGGCAGTGCCCGTGCTCAGTGGGTAGGGTGCCAGCCACATACACACAGGCTGGTGGGCTCGATCCAGCCAAGGCCAGCTAAACAATGACAACTGTAACAAAAAAGCAGCCAGGCACTGTGGCGGGTGACTATAACCCCAGCTATTTGGGAAGCTGAGGCAAGAAAATCGCCTAAGCCCAAGAGTTTGACGTTGCTGTGAGCTGCAATCCACTGTACTCTACTGAAGGTGACATAGTGAGTCTCTGTCTCAAAAAAAAAAAAAAAAAGAAAGAAAGAAAAAAATAGGTCCAGGGACATTCCCCAGAATGCAGTCAGAAAGATTAAGAAATTGAAAATATAAACTAAAAGGCAAATTAGAAATGAATAGAAGCTACTTTATAAGACATGACCACTTCACTAAGCAAAGTATAATGTTTTCCACTTATTACAGGAGTCTTTTCCAGCAATATGATGGGCTTAGTTTATCTATCATGAGTATCTTTCCTAACTTAAATGAGTAGAATCTGGATTAAATATGACCCAAAACTTTTTAATTAAATAAAAAGCAAAACTTGAAAAGGAAACCCACAGGTAACAGAGAAAAAAATTCAAACCCAAAGTATTAATTTCATACCTGTGACCAGAAAGGTATTAGATCTACTTCAACTTCCTGAGGGCAGAGGTTTTTATGTGGGAAGAAGCCCCACAAGGTTGAGACTAGAACCAATGCCTTGCATAAAAAATAGGTTTTTAGGAGAGTTTCCCTCTTCATAAAAAAAGAATTAGAAAAACTCCCACTGGCATCAGAAATCATTTACCTGAGGCTCCAGGTGGAACATCAAATTTTTTTACATGAGAAACATTAAGACATGAGTCATGCTAATGAGGGTTCCAAATATATACATTCTGCATGGTGCAGAAATCCAGGCTAATAAAGCCATGTAAAAATTAATGCTGGCAGAAGTAAACAGGAAATGCAGGGTATTTCTACACTCACAAAACAAACAAAAAACACCTAATGAAAGTGAGCACATAGCACTCGCCTTAAGAGATAGTCAACAAAACCAAAAACAGGAGAGTCGAGATTCCTAGAACTTGATTGAATTAATAGAAAAAGATGAAAGAGGCTAGAAATTCAATACCATTAAAAGCTTTAAAAGGAGAAACCATAATTAAAGAATAAGACATCATGAAAAAAATATGTAACTGTAAAAAAAGAACCAAGTAGAACTTCATGGAATTAAAATTTTAGTCATCAAAAGTACAAACTCAAGGAGTAAACAGATTTAGCTAAAAAGAAAGATGGTGAACTGGAAG